TATATTTTGTTAGATGTGAATCCCTCCTAAGCCAGTATTGAGCCTTGAGATATTAGCTAGTTTGGAGTCATCTTGATAAACAAAAGATTTCTACACTAAGTATCCAAAACATGAAGATAAACTTCTGTAATTTTTTTCAACCATGTTTTAATTTAGTGATATATAATCACGGTTCTTACAAAATTTGTCTAAGTAATTATAAATGTTTAAAGGTCTTTAAAAAAAATCTAACTTACTAAAAGACAAATAGTCATTATCTTAGGGAATATTTGTCCTTCTTGACACAGTAAAAATGACAGAACATGGAAAACACTATGGTGACAAACTAAAATGCATTCTTTATTTCTTTATCAGCAAATACTGGGACATTAAAAAACACTGAGGATTTAAAGAAATAAATATTACAATAAAGATTACAGTGTAGATTTACTGGAGAGTTGGATGGAAGTTAGGATGGTTCTGACACAGCTCTGCTTTTAGATATTTGTTTCATTATGTTTCAAAGAACAAATACACAAAGAACTAGTTGTTTTGTTTTGTTTCTTTGACAAAAATTAAATGAAAGATATACCTGAGAAGACATTTTCTCAACAGTAAATTACTTTTTTAATGAAAATAATATCTTATGGCAAAACTTTTGGAGTAATTGTCTTAATGGAAACAATGAATTCTAGAGAGAGGAAACAGAAGTAGCAAGCAGCATTTAGGAAAATGTGTCCATGCCATTGGTCACATGCAGAAACAGCATAATGAGAAAGAAATTGATGGCAGAAATATATAAAGTGCTATAAGAAGTCATTAGTATAGTGTATAAAAACCAGGCCTATTTGTTTCATAAGAACCAGTGTTATCTACAAAAATATCATCTCTTTTTGCTTAAGAATTTAGAAATAGGATTTTCTAACATGATATAAAATATTGCAAATGAAGAGTTTCAGTGACTCTTGAATGCTTTTCTCTTCACTGGCCATCAGAGAAATGCAAATCAAAACCACAATGAGATACCATCTCCCACCAGTTAGAATGGCAATCATTAAAAAGTCAGGAAACAACAGGTGCTAGAGAGGATGTGGAGAGATAGGAACACTTTTACACTGTTGATGGGATTGTAAACTAGTTCAACCATTGTGGAAAACAGTATGGTGATTCCTCAAGGATCTAGAACTAGAAATACCATATGACCCAGCCATAGCATTACTGTATAGCAGCATTACATGCTGCTATAAAGACACATGCACACATATGTTTGTTGCAGCACTATTCACAATAGCAAAGACTTGGAATCAACCTAAATGTCCATCAGTGACAGACTGGATTAAGAAAATGTGGC